GAAGACTTTTTCAGTTGTTTAGAAGAGGAACTTTTGCATTGAGAAGAAAGCCTTTAAGCGAGTTCATTTGCTTTTGGTGAAAATATATATTCATTAAAATGTTTCTCAAACAAGGGAGAGTTAAATTATGTTCAAAATTGTATTTCTTGAGAAAATCTAATTAGAAACGAGCAAGAAAATTAGCTTTTGGGTACATACATAATACGTTTCTCACCAAAGTTTCGCTTCATTTTGTCCAACTGTAGCTGAACTCTGGGGGTTTCTGGAGGTTTGAAGGATTCTAATAAGAGCCTGTAGTGCGTTTTGGTTTCCTCAATCTGATTCAGTAGGAGATTTTTTGAGAAAAATTCTGATCTTTTCATGTGTTTTGTCTTCTTCCACTCTGTTTTGGGAAATTTGTGAACATTTTCCCCAAAATTTTTTGTCGGTAAAAATCAGCAGTTGGGCCGATTTGTTTGAAACTTTCATGGGTTTGAGACTCATCAGTTTTCTATAGATTGTAAACGTTTCAAGTTTCTACTGCCCCTGAGTTGAAAGTTGTGATTTTTTCAAGCAAAGAGTGCAATTGTGTGAAAACGTAAATTATTCGGACAACTTTACCAAGTCGGTAAAAATCAGTAGTTGGGCCGATTTGATTGAAATTTTCATGGGTTTGAGACTCATCAGTCTTCTATAGACTGGGATAGTTTCAATTTTCTACTCCCCCTAGATAGGAAGTTGTGAATTTTTCAATAAAAGAGTGCAATTGTGTGAAAACGTCAATTTTTGGGACAACTTTATCAAGTCGGTAAAAATCAATAGTTGGGCCGATTTCATTGAAATTTTCATGGGTTTGAGACTCATCAGTCTTCTATAGACTGGGATGGTTTCAATTTTCTACTCCCCCTAGATAGGAAGTTGTGAATTTTTCAATAAAAGAGTGCATTTTTGCAAACTTTAACGATTTTGCGCGATTATCACATTTTAGCCACCTTAAGAGACTGCAGTGAATTTTTGGTTCTCCCTTTCAGGATCATAGGGATTTTTTTTCAGAAACCTTCTAAACCCTTAGAGGCATCTATTTTACGTTTTCCCAGCATTATACGAAAGAAATTTTAGGAATTTTCTAAACATTTTTTTTGGCCAAAATTTTGGGAGGTCAAACCCTCAGGACTTTGCGTTATTGTCACATTCGTTTTTTTTCTTCAAAAACTAAGCTTCCCAGTGAGAAATTGTGCTATTGATAAAACATCAGACGCGTTAAAAGGCATTGAAAGGTTTTTTTTCAAAATTTTCTACTTAATGGTTTGGGAGATAATGGCAAACACCTGGTTTGCAAACTCATGCAAAAAACGATGCAAATTTTTCGAACATGCATTTCAAAGGAAGTGAAAATATCACACGAAAAAGTTGGTATTCACTTTCTCACTAAAGTGACTAATAAGAGTTTGTTTAAATTTTTTTGCAAAATTTTTTTTAAAACTTTGAGTGGCGACTGAACAGCTGCTGCTTAAACTTGAATATTTTCACGACTCCGAATATAATTGACTTTGTTAAGAAAATCCTCTTCGACCCATTGAAAATCCGAAATTCGCATAATTAAGTCCAGTGGCAACGACTTCAACAACAGTATTTTCTTGCCCAAAAAAAGTTTTCCAATCCTTGAATTATCTTTGCGAATTTTTCACCTTAATGCTTCCGCTTTCCACCCTATTTCAACTGAGTACTTTAAAGCCCCTGCTCCGCTTAACAATGATCGTTTGCGGTTGAGCAGATCTTGTTAGCCGGCAATTTTCTTGCGATCACCAGGACGTCCCTTAGCCAGGCAATAAGGGCCGTAATTTTTAATAACCAGGTAAAAAAACAAACTTCACATTATTTCCAATTTTACCGATATCCGGTTCCCACGCGAGGCCGCAGCCACAACCTTGTAAAAAACATTATTAAAAACTCTTTTTGAAAGTTGATATAATGGGGAATTGATAACGAGACGAGGAGTCTTTCGTGTGGTGTACTGAAAAAGGTCTTTGTATCGGTTTTGGGCTGAATGGGATATGCACGCAAGTGCGTGATCATTCGATAAACCGCAAATTAATTTGCTTTGTATAAATTGCCGTTTTCATCGAAACATTCGGAATTTATCATGAATTATTGCGCTGCAAAGCAGCAATTGAGTGTCCTGCCAATACGCACCGGAAGAAGGAGCAGATATTTGAATGATCCACTCAAACGGACCAAATATTTATTTATTTAATCCCATGCAACCCACTTGACAAACCCATACAAATCATTTTATATGGGAAATCAAGTGATTCGTCAACGTGGGATGACTTTTAGTGGGTAGTCAGCAACCCTCGGCCAATCATATAATTGAATAGTTGACAAACTCTGATATGAATTAGACTAGTTGGGACAATGAATATCAAGGGCCCTTATAGGGCATGACAAGTTCAAACTGACAAATTTTCTTGTTGAATGAGGGCTTGAACGGATGCCAAAATTCGCTATTTTGTGACAATACGGATGATAATTTGATTGCGGCATGAAGATTCTCCATAGAAATTGTTGCTTAAATTAAAATTCGATTTTTCTTCTAAGTGATCTTTTTGTCTTTGAAGAATGTAGTTTGTTGATTCCAGGAAGAGAGTGAAGTTTTTCAAGATTTTGCGCCTCTTTTTGTGTTTTTTCAGGCTGCTGCACGCTCCTTCAATTGGTTTTTGATTGAGCGCCAAATTGTATGTAATCTGAGCAATTTTCAACATAAAATTCGTAATATTTTTATGTGGATTTTGTGTCTTTGACACTGTTGAACGCCCCTGCCAGTCCTTCTTGGAAAAGCCTTCAACTGACTCAAATACACAAATTCTACATAAACGTTTTGTTGATGGTATATTGAAAATTCCACAGTTTAAGGCCAATTTGATGCAAACGATTTCATCTTGCCTTGGAAGGATTTAATACTAAATTAATTTTGCAGCTTCCGACAACAGTTTTAAGCAGACAGAAAAAGTACATTATTCCAACTATACTATTCACCTTAGTTTGCTTTTTATCAATTTTTAAGTTTAGTTTAAAATAAACCAACATTTTTGGGTCCGTCCTTTGGAAGCCGAATTATGATACAGAAAAATGTAAGGGGGGGTGTCTCCCGAACTTTACACAAAAACAGGGGATGGAATAACGTGTCGTTTGCCAACTGTTCTGGTCCCGCCTCCCCTCAGAGCAGCGCGTGCCCTCACTTTTGTAAATGATATACAGGTGGTTGCAAGAGAGGAAATCGTCCCATATGTTATTCACTCGCTTTTACATAGTTCCGTCCAATTGTGACCATCATTATTGCAGTTATTGTCTGCATTGTATCAAAGTTTTCAGGCCATTCATCCATTAAAACTATGGAAAATTGGGCTGTAAGCAAACAAACTTAGGTGAGGTTAAAGCAAATCCGGTTTAAGTGCTTTTAATCAAAATTTGGATTAGTTGGTTGGAACCCCAGAAAAATTGTTAAAAATCCCTGATGGACGAATATCAATTTTAATGGCCTTCACACCCTATTGACCACGATAACGAGTTAATACACAAAAGGGTGAGTTTCTAACAAGGCCTGATCGATTATGTTGCGGGGTGTAAATAATCGCCAAAGGTGAAATTCAATTTTTCTCGAAAATTTTAATAATCCGCAGCCAGTTCTGGTTTAAAAGGGTTAGGCGCCCATCGAGTGTTCACGTATTGATGGATTGTTAAAAATTAATTTGTATTAGTCATGCGATAGCCAGACGCAAAGTGGCGATGCTGAGAAATGAAACTGAATAATTAGATTGAAAATAGGAGAATTTTCAACTTCAAAAGTACTGAAAAACTCACCAGTTTCAAACAATGACCGCAGGAGACTAATTTTTCTGCATTTTGAAACCAATTGAAAATCATTTCAGAAACAGCCAACGGTACTATCATTTGGTTCACTTCAACATAGAGACATAACTCTTCTAGGCCCACTGATTTAACTATAACAAATTTTAGAACATGATTTAATCGCCATATTTCCAACAGCCTAAGAAAAAAACCAACAACTGTTGGTTGCTTGAACTAAAGCCATTCATGCATCCGTTCTGAAGGAAGCCATTAATATAACAAAACGATGGTTTCTTCCTATTTTTTCGGGCACTTTTTCCCATACTACCCAAAATTCTCCTATTAACATAAAAAATAATTAATTCAAGAATATGGTCCAGCCAACAATGCGGCTAATTGCCATGTTTCTTTGAGATGATCTGGTGAAATGGATGGCTGGTGCCTCCCTAGGACACATATGGTGGCTGGTAGGCCGTGATATTACAACCCCTTCCGGTGTTTGATACATGACGCCGCTTTTTATCGTTGAATCAAACGAAAAAAGCAATTTCAAAGACACTTTACTTGGATTTTCCCTGAGGAAAGTGACAGTTTTTAAGCCCGAAAACCCGTTGAGTATTTTTTTTATTTGTGAACCTCTGGGTTTGAACCCAAACACTGTTCTAGCTGTGGCTGGAAGGCACTTGATCGATTATGGAGAAATTATGATTATTCAAAGGCACCGAGCTTTGATGGATTGATGGCTTAAAAGCTGAAGTCTGGGTGGAACCATCGATGGGTTCTATCAAATTTCTTCACGAGGTGTGAGCATCGTAATTTTGTCTCGACAGATCGGACACGCGATCAAATTTTTCTTTTAGTTAATAAAGTGCAGTCGATTTTTTTAGGAACTTGTTTAATTTTTAGAACATTTGTCTAGGCTTAGTTTAATACTTATTCAGTGAACTGAATAAGAAGCGACTGATGTTTCCAAAAACTTTACCAAATCGGTTTATAAAGACAGCTGAAATCATTAGTTTCTAACTTCTCAAGATTTTCTCTGTTCGTCTCAGTTGTTTCATTCAAACCTTAATTTTTCCTCATTCAAATCCTCATTTTCCTTTTGCAAAAACTACCTACCTTGATGCAATAGAGAACACTTCAGCTTCGCTCACGAACAAATCAGACACCAGTTTGTAATAAAAACATACAATATATTGCATATAAAACAACAATCACGAGTAATAAAAGTAATTTTGAGAACAAAGACTTCGGCACATGAATATTGGCATTAGTAACACGTGAACATGAAGTTAAATCTAAAATAAGTTCAACAAGTGAAAGGACACTCACTTTTCCCAGCCCAAATTCATTAATCCAACACAAAAAACGGGCCCATTGAATTATCTTTTAAACAGCGACCTTTTGATCCAGGAATTGCTTTTCGATACTGTCGAAGAAACCGAGCCACTATTTTCGTCCCGGCTGTCCCGCCTTGGAGTGTTTTCCCTCTGTAAGTCCCCATTGTGGTTGACTCGATCTTCCCCATTCCCTCCTGCACCGTTGTCTTCATTATCATTACTTATATCCACAACTAGGCTCTGTCTGCATAAGGTGGCCACTGCCTGCTTGTCCTTATCCTTCCCTCTTCTCATCTTCACCTTGCGGAATTTCGATGCGATGCTGGAAAATGCTGATTTGCCTTGTTTGGGATTTTTGCCTTGCCGTGGCAACGACACATATCCCTCTGAAAAACTCTTTGAACATCCCCATAACTTAGCAGGAAATTGCAAAATTACCTGCTCGATACTCCGGCTTAATCCTGTTGTAAACCTCCGGTTCAATATTGATCATTCCTGCAGATGCAGACTTTATCAGCGAGCCTGGCAGGCTTTGAGGATCCATGCTGGATTCGCTATCCACACTAATTTGACTTAACCTGCAAGGTACCACGTTAATAAGCCTGGATGAATGAAGACACTGCAACAAAAATACCTATTTCTATGGGGGAACTGTAGGACATCTTCACTCAAATAGGAGGGTGCAGATATGGGGGTTTTCATAAACTCCTCCTTGGCCTTTTGCAGCTTTCTCATTCGGATTTCGGGGGAAAAGCTGCTCTGCTCACCCCTGGAATTGGCCAGGGAAATATCCAGCAGCAAGTTTGGCTTCGGAGGATCAAATTTATCGGGTTTAAAACTGTTAGAGGGTAAAGCAAGAGAAGTCTTCCTTTCGGGAACCGTCACTTGCTTTGCTGATGCTGAAATGGTGCTCGCGCTAGAGGATTTCTGCACTGGATGGCGATCACTGAGTGAAGGGGACAGTTTCTGCAACTCCTCCTGATACTTCTCCGTCCGAACTCTCACTCTCCTCTCAGAAACGGGCGATCTCCACGCAATGGGCGAGTTCGAGCCGCTGGATCCACCAGACTTAACTCCTGCCGACTGCTCCAGGCTTTGATTGTACTTTGCCATAATCAGCTTGATGCTGGGAGACACCTCTTTGTAGACCTGCAAAAGATGCAGTAGACGCTACACGCTAGAAGGCAAAAGCACTCACTTTCCTCTGTGGAACTGGTGAAGGTGGAAGAGGTGGCAATGTCATCAGAGCCTCCACTTTTGCATTGGCCAAAACTGCCCCCTCCTTAACAGGATCTTCTGTCAATCCTAAACGCAATTAGTAAATTTGGTTCTCAGCTAGCTAGATCAGACTCACCTGGAGGCTTGGGTGCACTCTTTGGTTCAGCAGAGGGTTTTCCTAGGGAAGTTTCCACTATGGGAGTGAACAGCTTCCTGGTGGTTTTAACAAATAATGTCACGGCTGAATCTGTAGGAGACGAATCAAATCTGGACTCAGAAGTGCTGCATTCTTTTGCTGAAGGAGCGAGAAGTTTGGGGTCGAACTTGGGGGGCGCAGCCCCTTCAGACACCGATCTGGCTCGCGCAAGTTTCTTGTGCTGCCGGACGTTCTTTGGGGGCTCGGATTCCTCGTCATCCGAGTCCATCATGGATTTTTTCAAGCTCTTCTGTCGATAACGAATGCGCTTTTTTACAGCTCCTTGACTGGCCGACAGATTTGTTCCACCTAAGGAAAATTACTTGAGAAAAATAACGCGGCTTAGAACCTTAAAATTACTTTCAAGCTTAATGAATCGACGCTCTTTCTCGCTTCCTTTCCGCGACACTTCATCACTGGTTCCTCCTCTGCTTTCCCTAGAGTCATTCGACCAAGTTTTACTGGTCTCAGACTTGGTGGTGCTGAGTTTCTTTTTCGAGGGTATGGTGAGATCGGTCGCTGCACAAATGTAGCTGAGGAGGCGCCGCAGCTCAGCTATTTTCCCGCGAATTTCCCTGATTTGCTCGAAGGTCGTGCCACGAAATGAATAGCAATCTTCTTCAGTACGATGGAGGACGATTTTGTTAATCTGGTCAGTCTGAAAGGTAAAGTCGAGCTATGGAGGTTTGGCTATTATGTTTTCCTCTGGGCCGGGGGATACATTTTTTTCAGGCCAAGTTAAGTTAATTTAAGGCAAAACATGCCAGTTTTACCATCTGCAGCATTTCGTCAGAAATATCCTGCACATTTTCAAACGTCTCCTCCAAAGTGGCGTGAGTTCTGTTCTCGTCTCTTCTGTAATTTTTCGCAAATGCTCGATTGGCTTCTTTCAGCTTCGACAAGCCGTCGATCAGCTTTTTAACGGACTGGTTTTGCAATTCGTTTAAAAACTGCAAATTTGCAAGTAAAAAGACCGTTGCTTAGCGTGTGGATGCGAAGCATACCTTGAACGTTTTCTTGTTTTGCTCCTCCAGAATGTTTTTGTTCTCTGCAAGGCACCTGAAAATTATTGTTTTTCTAAAGACGCCTAGTGAAATATCATTGTTAACTTACCGAATTTCATCCTCAGTAACTTGCAACTCTGTTAACAACTTCACTATGTTCTCCATCAGGTCGTAGTTTATTTGAGCTCTTGCTGATTCGGATCTCCGAACCTTTGGAACGACGATCGTCTCGCTTTCGCTGAAAACATCGTCAATGTTGCAGATCTCCAAGCACTGATGAAATTAGAAAATTGGCCCTCACCATAGAGACTTGAATTCCTGCCGCTGATAGACTGGCAGCTGATGCTTATCCACACACCTGATGTGTAAGGGTTCGGTGGTTTCCTCCTCATAATCTTCAACTTCCACCAAGACGGCTTCTGGTTCGTCCGCGTCATCTAGATAGTAATCTTCGCCACTGATCAGATATTGCATGGAAGAGGATTTCGAGTTTTTCATGCACTCCTTTTCCAGATCCTCCATATCGTTTAGGGAAAGGGAGGATGGGTGGCCAGAAAGGAGCGGACATGTGAGGTTTAGGGCGGAAATTGCGATGCTATCGGCCGATTTCGAGCGAGGAAGTGCTGATGAGTGATGAGCTGGAATTCGAGTTAGTTACGCGGTGAAATGGACATTGAGGCGGTGGTTGAGTACCAGAAGGGCTCTTGGTTTTAGGTGCAGATGCTCCCACTTCAGCTGGATAGTTTGAGGCTGATAGCAAGGCAAACGTGGAGGCCTCAGGAGCAATTCCTTGGGATTTCTCCCATTCGTAGAGTTTCTGGGTGAATTTTCTGGAAATGCCCTCAAAGCGATGGAATCCTGATGGGGTGTGGATGAGAATTTCCTTCTTGGCTGGCGCCCCAATCATGGATCTGCGCAACTTAGACAACCTAGCCCGAAACTCACACTTTTCAACGGAGCCTTTTACAAAATCCTGCCTCACCTTTCTTCACGGTCAATGAACTTTTGCTTCTCCCTTTCCAGCCTCAGCTTTTCCTTCTCGATTTTGCCGATTTCCTTCTCAAACCAATGCAGTTCTTTGCTGGTGTCTTTCGTCTTCTTCTGCTTCGTCGAGGAGTTTTTCCTTCATTTCAGTGCTTTAAATGTGAAGCTGTTTGGCCCCTTAGCGACTTACCTGCTTAGCTTGGGACTGGGGGTTCGGTCCTTCATTTTTTTGTGTTCCGCATAGGAAAGTGGCCGACCTGATGCTTTAATTTCTCGCCATTCTTCCAGTTTTTTGCGAAACTCGTCCGACATGGCCGGATATTCAAAAGCCGGCGAATGATCAGTGGGCCTAAATTGTTCATGGGAAATAATCGGCATTGAAGAGTTGGTGGAGGGGTTTACCTGGGTCCCCCGAGGCTTTTCCATTTGGTGATTTCTCCCAGCCGTTTTCTGCTGCCGCCGCTGGTTTTCTTGATTTTTTCCCACTCTTGCAGCTTTTTTTTGAAGTCGGCTGGAAGCTCGTACTCTCTGGTCATCCGAACTCGTCTTGCAAAATTCCGGCTTTGATTAATCGAATTGAGAAACAATTTAAATCTAGATTACCTGTGCTTGCTGGTGGGAGAATGGCTTTTTATTTTCTGTAGCTCTTCGAGCTTTTTCAGGTAAAACGGGTCGCGATTGTCGTCCATGAAGCCGCAAGCTGAAGGAGAGCTTGGCGAATTCTGAAACACTCCGATAAATTTCCAAGTTTTAGGCAACATTTGCCCAAACTACCTGCTTCAGTCGCTCCCATTCGCCGATTTTTTCCTGAAACTCCAAGCTCAGCTTCTTTTGGAGGATTTTGTAATTCCTCCTAATCTCCTCCTCTGTGGGGCTGTCCTCCAGCTTGTCCTTGCCCTGTGAGGATGAGTGAGAGGTCTTGATCGATCTACTGTGCGGAGATTCGCGAGTCAAAAACGCTTTCCGTATCCGCGTCCATCTGGATGATCTTGACTCAGAATCGGACTGCAAATGGGGGTTTGATGGGTTATTGATGATTCGGGTTGAAAGCACTTACAGTACTATCTTCAACCAAAGCGCGCTGATATCTTTCAACGATTTCTTGAGGAATTTCACTGCCACAAGGGCTGACGCTTGAAGTGCTGTAGACGTTTGGAGAGGGCGAAAGCGAAATGTTTGTACCTGGAAAAACGGTTGAAAAATCAGTTAAAAGGTGACTGATGATGCTACTTTTGTTTCCAGAGTCTTCGGCTTCAAACACGTCCTCATTGTCGCTGCAGAACTCAACATCGATTTGAATATCGTCACTGGCAGCAGATAGGCGATGTTTTTTCCTGACGCTACTTCTGGTGTTGATGATGTCTTTCATTTTGGCCCAAGGAGTTCGATGGTACTTTTGCGATTGGGACTTCTGACGGTAGTCCTTAAACATGCCCAATTTGCCCATAAAAAAATCTGTTTACCGAAAGTGGGTGAAACCGTACCTTTGAATGTGGAATGTAGTGGTGTGGATTCTCGTCATCAGAACTTCTAAAGTCTTCACAATGCTGCCTTCCTGAAAATTCATATTCGGTTTCTTCTTGAGGATTAAATGTTCCTGCCCTGCGGCAGAGCAGATACATTAACTGTTCGGGCGGAAGATATGTATTCTTAAGCACCAAATATTTTTTTTTGTTAAGGAAGATTCAAAGGAAAATAACTGAACACAACATGTCTCTTTATTTATTATCCAGACATATTTAAGTTTTCCTAGTCGCCATCCTGTTCTGCTTTGATCATTTGCTGATAAAGATTGTACAACTCGGGTTGAGGCTCAAAGGTTTGCTTAATAGTGAAAAATTTCCTGTTTACTGGATGGATCAGCAGATCGATCAGCTCGCTTTGATGCTTGTTTTTGATAAAGTTGCGGGACAAAACAATGTCGGTTCTCTGGAAACCTTTGATCGTACAAAACGCCATCCAGCAGCAATCCAGAAAAGCCAGCGTGACTATTGGAAATAGTGCGTAGTTTCGTTTGTAGAATCCAAAAGTCAGAAAGTTGTTCTAAATATTCAGGTTTTTTAGGGGCGGTTTAGACAAGAGCTAGAGTCTTACCGGTCCATGCCAGTCGCTCTTGTATTCAGCAAAGCTTCTGAAGCCTCCAACCATTTTGAGCAAGCACGGAAAATTTGCAAAAATATTGACAAAATATGACAAATTGGGCCAATGATAATGGCACCAGTAAAGGTATAATTGAGGAACAGTATTGGACATTACGAGTTACTCAAAACTGGTGCATTGACTTGTGTTGAAATGGAGAAAACGACAATGTGAAATCAAGCGTTGGCTTATATACTCTAGACGGTTTCTAAAAATACGCACTTTGACATTGTAACAGTTCAAATATACATGCTGAGATATTAAGGAAAGCACTTTGCGTTTGCGATTTTCCACATTAAGGATTAATGCTTTGTGAGGGAAAACCGATTGAATTTTTTTCGATTTGCACAGTTTTTTCTAGGAGTTTTCCTGTACTCAGTTTGATTTTTTTTGCATGAATTCCTTCGGTTTTCAACAGTGATTATTTTGCAGCATTCGTCCACAACTAGCGGTGTTATATGAATTTGTTCTTTAAAAAGTCTAGAGGTTTGGAATACCAGCGAAGTTTTTTTGGTAGAAAATATGCCTGGTGTGTGGATTTTATTGATATAATTAAATAACGGTCCAAAAACTCCCTTCCTTGTGATTGAGTAACAGTAGAAGTAAAAACACTTTCAATAGTAGAAAAGGCCTCAATCAAAAGCGAAAAAATTGCAAAAGCCAATCCAACACAGCCGCACTGACAGTAAGGTTCAGTTAGGAAAGCAGCAATTTTTTCTTGCAGAAAAATTACAAACAGCGACAAAGAAAAGCATTAAACAACAGCAAAAATTGTTTATAGAGAAATTTCCAGTTTTAACGTCTACTTACTTAACACTAGCAATAATAATTAAGTCCAGTGTTTTTTTTTGTTTTCGCAATAATGATCATTTGGCCTGCTGGCCCCGAGACACCGATAAAGATTAATGAAAACCCGAGATGGAAAACACTGAAAGAAAATCAGAGAGCACCATTCGAACATACAAATCTGGAATGTTTCATCACTTTGCTTATATATTCCACTTTCCTTCGAAATATTTATTTTAGATTTTAGATTTCCACGGTCTAAATTTAACCCGAAATTTATACACATGTAAATATCTTGGAAAATTCTGTTTATATTGGTGTCGTTTACGGTTTGGAAATTAATTTCACAGTGGAAAGCCATAACATTGATTCGACCAGTGCAGGAAATTGAATGTCGTTGCAGTACTGGGCTTTGGCGTTTTGTGATTGAAAAATTGGAATTTCCTGCTAACCATATTGAAGAAATCTAGGGAATCCAAGCCATAAAAAGATAAAGAGCGCTCAAACCCATTACAATTTAATTAGGGAAACGTGTACACATGTGCCAAGTCGTAACATGAAAGTAAATTATTTAGGAAAGAAGCGATAACATTTATGCGAATTGAATAAGTTCGTAAATAAAAGCAGGTGGATGATAGAGGAAAATTTTAGCTAAAAGAGCAAGATACAGGAAAAACTGCAGGTGATTTATTCTATTAAAACAATGTGTGTGTTCAAGTCAAAAACGAGAATTATTTTCCTAGCAATCAAGAGCTCGAAAAGATCAAGGTTCGATCGCGAATGAATGTATCAACTTCCATTGGCGAACTTCAAGCGAATTTGGCTTAAATATTCAAAATATTTACAAAAAGCTTTTTCACAGCAGGCAAACTAAACTAATAAAAGTATAAATGTGCGAGTATGTGTTTCCATAACAGATTTAGGTCAGTCATTATGCATTTATAATTAGAATATCTACGAATGAAATACGAGAGCTTACAAGACATTATGCCTTTTTGCCAATGATTGATAAGAGTACAAATCGCATTGTGGGATTGGGGGGCTTATTTAGTGCTACTTACCAAGTCGCAGGTCGTCATTGGAGGATGCCGAGCTGATTGTCCCAGGGGTGGAGATTCCAGCCCCAGAATCTCCGGGGCTGTGCCCCATTTCGTCACCGGTGGACGGCACTCGAAGATAACGCGCGATTTCATAGTTAAGCGGCACGTGAATGCCACTGTCTTGAGACTTGCTGTCGCCCACATTTGAGGCTTTTTCCCATCTAAAATGCTCCCAGCCTCTACCATTTGTTACTTATCCACTGGAAATATTTGCTTACTTAAACGCTGCTTTCACTTTAGTCCACTTGGAGACTTTAGACTGTTTGTCCATTTTTTCGGCATTTTCCGCCCGGTCTTTTTCGTCCTTTTCCCCTGGAAGTGCCTGCTCAAAGAACGGCCGATCAGTGGCCGAAACGCTTCGCGGCCTTCGCAGCAACGAGGTTCGCAAATGCTTGTACTTTGGAAGATCCTGCAAGTCGAAAAGTGGTGGAAACCATTCAAGGCAAGTGATTGGAAAAGTTGCCTTATTTTTAGGATCTTGTAGGATGGAGTCCAAAAGAGTCTCAGCAAAAACGGTGTCTTTTTCCAAGTCCGGATATTCTTCTTCCACTGCATCTGGATTTCCACTCAGCTTCTCCAGGTTGTTCAGATGCTCCAAGTCTCGAATTCTATACTCAAGAAAAATTAGTTTGCTCAACAATTCAACGAGAAAATTACCTTCTATGCAGCTTCACATTTTGCTCTCTCAGCTCCAGCATCTGCTCCATCAGCTTATAGAGCTTCTCCAGATGGTCGAAAGCCTCTTCAGTGATAATCGCAGGGGCAAAAGTACTAGTCGATCTGGAATACACGCTTTTATGCAGCGACTCAATGTACTCAAACATCTCCCGGTCGTTCTCAGTCACGCCACTCAAGGATCGTTTTTCCTTGCATTTTTCCTCCCCATTGTCCTCTTTGCCCGGCGTTTTAGGGCAAGTTGAAGGCTCATTCCATGGATCAGGAGGTGGCGTCGGCAGTTTGAGGGGTTTTGGCTTTTTTGGAGGTTTCTTGGTCGTGTCATTGGCGGTGTGAAGACTATCGTTCATCTTGCTTTGGTTCAGGCTGATTTTCCACTGGTTTGCTTCATATTCTATTTTTTGAGCAGGGTGCTAGAATATACGCAGAAGATGGAACAAGTTGAAGTTTCAAGAGTTCATCAGAGTTGAAATCATCTTGATTAGGGCTTGTTCGCGTCTATTTAAGAGAAATTGAGGCCAATCGAACATCAAAATTGGAGTCTCTAAGTAAAGGAGCACAGCGATGTCGGACAGCGAAAATAAAGAAAAGAAGCAAACAGTCAGCGAGAAATGAAGAAGATAAACACAAACCAGAAAAAGAGATAGGAGGAGCGAAAGAGTGATAAAAACGAAAACAAAATCAGCTGGAAGCAAAAGCAGCAATTAAACGTGGGCGGTTTATTTGGTCAGATAGTTTTGTTACAGCGATTTGTGTCAGAGAAAAGAATTTAAATTACAAAGTTGGATGTAGGAGGATTCAGCATAGTTCCTTCCACGGGATTCGGCCCTCCTGGTGATCAACTCATGGAAGGAAAAATTGGGACACAATAAATAAAAGACTATAAAGAGGAAATCTTGTTAAATATTCCAGAAATCGAAGACAAACAAAAGAACAAAGTGATATGGTTTTAATTCGCGTTTTAATGCGATAGCCGTAATCTGTTAATCCAATTCGAATGGCCGTAATAAATGGGGCAAAGGACATTACGGTTCAATTAAATGAAAAATGCAAAACTTCGGGTCTAACGATGGTTATCAAGAAATAGAGCTCAAATTGGGAATTTAATGCGGAAAAAGCTTGCATCTTCAGAGCTGGTTGATAATGTTTTGATGTTCAAAACGTTTCGGTTGGCTCCAAAGAACGTTGAAAACGGTTGGAGATACTATCAGCCGCAACGACGTAATAAAAACATCTTTGTAAGACAACGTAAGTGAAAATGACCCATTTAAGACAAAAGTTCCGAGCTTTAAGTCAAAAGATGGCTCTGAAAGTGGTAAGCTTCAGGAAACTCACCAGTTCCAGAAATACTGAAATCTGCTGTTTGTGGGAGACGTCGATTCTTCTTCATCTGATCTTTTGTCTTAAGAAGTTAATCAAATCGCCTTCATAATGAGTTTCCGGTTAACCCAACTGATATTCCAATCTATTTTTTTATTTGATGTCTATTCTTGAATCGCATTCATCACGTTTTCATCAAAACGCTGCTCGCCTAAATCTCTTTTAAGTGCTCTAAAAATAGAGCTATGAGATGAAAGTCTGAAAGCTCTGAAGACGTGTTTTATGATTTTTTATCGCGTTTTATTAATGGTTTGGCCGTTTTCTTTGCCTTAAAGTTTGCGGCAGTATTATGCATTAGCCAAGAAGATAAGCGAAAATTTACCTGAAAGCTTGCACTTTTTGAGCAACATTTACAGTGCGATTCTCTATTTAGATTCGGATGCTGTGCAGTTATCCGGGCATCTGGATGTTAGGGAAACTTTGCTTCTAGACATTCACGCACGCTTTTTTTAAATACAATTAAAAATGTTGAAAGTGTTCGCCGAGCTATTTTTACGAGTTTGTTTTTATAAACTGGAGTGTTTCGGAATTTACATGTTGAACGTGCTGTATCAAAATATCTCGCGTCGCGGCGCACGTCTTACCAGTGACTAACCGACGTCCAGCGTCGGTTTTACCACATCGCGGCCCTAGACACATGTCGGCTTTAATTAGCATTTGTACTTCGGATATTTCTGCATTTCAACATTGTTTGTTTCTATTGCTTTTAGCCGCCGATTTGCCTCACAAATCATTTCGATGGAAAACAGAAAACGGGAAAACTGACAACATTTCCCCAACCATGGTTCACTTTCTAAAAAGGCCATTTATTTCTGTCTAGAATGATGTACAAATGAGCGTTCTTGCTCATTTTGCCTCCGAGAAATGAGCAAAA